ATCTGTGTCGGTACGTGAAACATGCGAAGGGCTCGCCACAGTAGCCTATGGGGGACTGCCCCGTAGGCGTTGGCTAAGTCCAACCATATAACGTGCAAATCGGTTCTCTCATGCTTGGCTCTCTGGATAGCCTCCCAAATCATGGTCGCGTGTTCAAGGCACCCAGGAACGCCTGGAATACCACCCTTCTGAACACTCGTATCTATGTACTTGTTAGTCATCAGATACTGTGTGAGCCGGCGAGCCATGACTGAGAAGAATATCTTACCCTCGACATTCAACAGCGAGATGGGCCTGAATTGGGAAAGACTCTTCGAGTCCTGCTCTTTGGGAATGTAGACCCCATTTGCCTTTGACCACTCTGGACATATGTGATTGCGGATCCATGCTTGTCTCAACAAGACGTGAAGCATTTTAAGGATTTTCGGGCAACGCTTGTAAAGAACGTACGGGACACCGTTCGGACCTGGAGCAGACTTGCCGCTGGCCTTTTTCACAACTTCCTCAACCTCAGACCAAAGGGGAGGTACCATTTTAAATGGTACCTTCGGCACCGAAGGCTGTTTAAGACCGCTAAGGATCTCTGGATTGTCATCGAGAGGCTCTCTCCTCTTTTTGTCAGAGTACATCTTGCCTAGATGTAGCTCTAGTTCATCCTGACTGACAACCAGAGTCCCAGACTTCGGTTGCTCGAATAGACCTCGGGCAAACTGATACGGGTCCCTAAAGAATTTCTCTCGCTCCCTTTTGGTTCTACGTCTGTTGTTACAGAAACGCTCGGCGCGACAGAGTGCACTGTGTTTGTTCTTTAAATGCAACCAAACTTCATACAGCCCCTCCCGTTCGCTGCCTGTAGCGGCTTTGAACCGTTTTCTGAGGGCATTCTTGTCTGCCCGACACTTCAGAATGTCCCTCTGCCTCCTGCTAGTATTCTGCTTGGCACCCGGCTGTGCCTTTACTACTGTCCCGAACTCACGGGAGCAGTGTTCATATATTACATCACCAAATTTTGTAAGCTTGTCGCCTAGCGACTTCTTGTTTAGAGTTTGTTTAAGTACCTCACATAATGTAGCCTCCAACTTACACCACACCACCTTCTCGCTCGCAGGTGGAAACCTGATTCTGGAACGCACTTCTTCAGAAATCATCAAAGGTGCTCCTCCGCAGTCGACGTCATGGGCCTCTCCGGGCGAGTGGGGTTCACCCTGCCCGTCGTACCCTGACGACTCAGAAACTACCACAGGAGTAGTAGTTTTGCGACGGCGTTTACTGCGTGGAGCACCCTCGCATTTCATTCTTCCGGCATGCGTTCTCAGACCATGCAACCCCGTGAAGCTTTTCCCACATGTACAGAGCCAGCCCGGACGTTGGGCGAGTATCTGAGTCCGGGGGCTAGCAAAGTCGTCACCGAGAGTATCAATTGGATTGGGCCCTTCATTCTCCCCCCCCCCCTTTTCGGAGGGCCCTGGGGGCATATTTCATTGTGGTCGTACGAAATCGGAGGTATTATACTGTGTTAGGGGTGATCAACCCGGTCCACAGTCGACATCTGTCTCCAGATGCAGTTTATCCCCCCGGCGATACCGGGGGGGGGCAGTCTTTCCATAGGTGTCAAAAGGTCTTTCCCGATAGTCACCAGTCTTTCCTGGTAGTCTTGTGGGCTAGCCACGTACAATAGGAATAAACTCACAGGGAGCAAGTACAGCAGGGATCTACCAGTCGTCAGTAGAAATTATCCTCGTCGACACGCGTTTCGGCCCACGATTCCTAGACGCATTCGGAGGTGGGCCCTCCTGAGTTCATGAAGCTCAGGGCTGGTTCCCCGCTGTACGGAATTATCGGATGGTGTTATTCTTTCGGCCAGAGACAAGACGACTTGGTGGTTTCGCAGGAGGTACTGTGAGATTTATACAAGAGACAAAACTGCTGATATAGACAACTTATTTCAGGCGAACGAAAGAAGAAGAAGAAGAGGAAGAAGAATTAGTGTTAGTTTTAAGGTATGTCTTGAACATTCTCATTTCTTCAATCCATTCATTTCCCAATTAAGTGCTTTTATGTCCATCTATTGTATGCACAATAACTGAAGTGGTGAATGTGGCTGAAGAATCTTTACAGATCAGTGGCGTTGTCAGGGCCAGTTCGGTTAATGGATGAGTAGGTGTGATGATAGTGAATCATCACGTATGAACGAGTTGACCCTCAGTCAAACTCAGAGCGAGATCGTGCAGTTTGACGACGGAATAAACTGTGTCGGCTGAGTTGTGCATTCGAAAAGGTTTACGCCGTATCTTCCACTTGTTCCAGTGAGGATGACAGTGAAGCATTCAATCTATAGCTTTTGATGTGAAGCGATTACAATGTTACACTATATTTGGCATTTTCTGGCATATTTTGGGTAATGGTTTGGCATAAATGAAGTTTTTCATCTGGCAACTCTAGGTACGGCGTGCCAGAGATGAACACTGGAGAGGTACAAAAGGCTCGAACAAGATGTTGTTTGAGGCAAAAATCAAACTTTCGTCCTTTTTAGGACGAAATTTTTTGTTATTTGAAGCCCCACCCTGGCTTTATAGGCAGGCCATAAATATGGCCAAATGTCTAAACGCGGTTTCTGGGACCTCTCCACGGCGATCCTCATCCACAAGGTGGCACTTTGTGTCAACGGGTGTTTGTCGCTTGTGTGATGTCCTGGTGGGGTAGAAAGTCAGTCTGTTGTTTGAGGATACGCGTGTAGGACTTGGACAGGACGTTTGTCGGACTGCGACTGTAAACGTATCTTCTATTAGTGACGAGTAGCAAGAATAGTTTTTGTGGTAGGCTTTAGATATGTTGTGTTTCTATACGTTATCTTGACAAGATTACTCATGGTTAATGTTTTTTGCGTAGTAGAAGTTTTCACGCAGAATAAAGTTAGAATGCAGAGTGTGTGACATTACAAGATTCTGACAGGGATAATGGCTGCCCATTATGGAAGAGATTGGGTCCTTAATTAACATATGATACTCTGAAATAAAGAAGTTTTACCCCCACCAGGGCATCACACAGAGCGATAAACACCCGGTGACACAAAGTCCCTCCACGCGGGTGAGGATCACCTGCGGAGAGGTCCCGGAAACCCCTTTCAACTGTTAGGTTATATTAGAGCTCCCGGGTTGGGCTTCAAAATAATTTTAAAAATGGTGTCCCACAAGGGGACGACTTGTTTAATGAAAGTAATTCTTTGTTATGCGATGATTAACTCTGAAGCAGGCAAGGGAAATATAGATCAGTAAAAGTTGTGAGTCTCTTTACAAGACATAAAAGTCATTATCATTATTTTCCTCTTGTTATCCAAATGAGAAGGAATAGTTGATGGTTTAGTGTTCATTGGGTTATTATTATTATTATTTCTTGTGGATGTACATTATTTTTGATGTTTTCAAACCATATACTTCTTGGGTACCTGTCCTCTTACTCTTGTAAGAAATTTTCAAAGTTTCTTAGGTGTAGCACCTGGGTTGATAACCAGTGTTTCGGCATCACTATAAAAACAGTACTGGAGGTTAAAGTTGTAAGCAGGTTAACAAGAGGTAGACACTGACACAAGCGGGATGCTAATATCATTAGATGGGCAACAATCATAGATAGTGTACAGCCATGGTGAGAGATGGAGAGTGTTTGAGATCCATAGCAGTTAACTTTCATTGTGGAAATGGCATCTGATGAATTGATAAAATAAATTCACAACTGTCTAGGCAACACATTTGACCAGCTAACACATTTAATGTAATGACATTTGACCAGCAAGCACATTTGATCTTATACCATTTGACTAGCCATCACATTTGACCAGCTAACACATTTGATCTAATGATATTTAACCAGCCAACACATTTTATCTAATGACATTTGACCAGCCAAAACATTTGATCTTAGAACATTTGACTAGCCATTACATTTGACCAGCCAGCACATTTGATCTAATGACATTTGACCAGCCAACACATTTGATATGACATTTGACTAGCCATCACATTTGATCTAATGACATTTGACCAGCTAACACATTTGATCTAATGAGGGAACGAACGTACGAACGAACTTTATTTTCAAAGGGTCACAAATTGGACACGCAGGCCCGTCTTACATTCGGCCCTTCCAGTCAACCATCTTTCGCACAGCAGTTGTATTTTACTAATAAAGCATGTAATGATCATATGATGTTATGCATATTATGAATATTATAAAAGAACACAAAAGTGCATGCAAAAACCCGCGCGTGCATACATACACCCGCATACACACGCTCACCCACTCACTTACACACACAAACATGCATGCATACATTACATACATACATACACAGATACATATAAACAAACATGCATACACACATACACATCATACACCAGCAAACACATTTGATCTAATGACATTTGACCAGCCAACACATTTGATCGTATGGCATTTGAATAGGCAACACATTTGATATAATGACATTTGACTAGCCAACACCTTTGATCTAATTACATTTGACCAGCCAACACATTTGATCTTATGACATTTAAATAGGCAACAAATTTGATATAATAACCTTTGACCAGCCAACACATTTGATCTAATGACATTTGACCAGCCAACACATTTGATCTAATGACATTTGACCAAGCAACAAATTTATCTGCTTGACCTATAAGACAGCCTTTTGTCATGGCATGGAAAGGTGGCAGCACCCTAGAATTCTGTTGATCACAAAATTTGAAGAGGCGACAAGGTAGTTGATGATGAGTTAATGGCTATAAATCGAAGATCTTTAAGAAAAAAGGATAATTTAATGTCAGCATTAAAATACAACACACACAAAAAAGGAATGGATTCTTGAAAAAAAAAGAGAACTTTATTGTATCCAAATATTGTGTTATAAATTCACAGATTAGATGAAGACAGTTATATTTGATATCTCTAAAATGTGGTAAACTTGCTCACGTTGATATAAATCCTGTTGCATATGTTTTCAGATGATGCTACCGCTGGTTCTTCCCCTCGCATGCCTGAAGGTGTCAAGCCTTTGTGTGGCTACGTGCACCCTGACGATGTCAAGAAATGGATGGTGAGTACAGCCTGCAATCTGACGTACAGCTACTAGTTGCCAGGTGCTCAAACCAGGACAGTGAACAGTATTTGAAGTCTAACCCTGGCTTTTGCCGGGGGCTCTGAATATAGCCGGGCCATAAATATATGGCCTCAAGGCTGAAAGGGGTTTCTGGGACCTCTCCACTGGTGATCCTCATCCACAGGGTGGCACTTTGTGTCACCGGGTGTTTATCACTTGTGTGATGTCCTGGTGAGTACAGCAACCTACTTACCTATACAATCCCTGTTCGCTTCTGTGGCCTTACACCAAGTAGAAACAATGGCATGTACGCCTTGTCTGTATCAGGTTTTGTCCTGTACACATAGCCATTTCTTTACAGCATGAACCATATCCTCAGGTCAGTCTCTCCACCGTCTGAAGCTTTTCTCTCTGAACTCAGTGACAGACTGCTTCTACTGTATGCACAACTTGCTTGTCATGCACACACATGTTTATGAATCTTCACCACAGATTATTTTTCCACGAACAGAAGTTATAGAACAATTTATTGTTTGTTATGTGCAAACAGAAGTTCTAGAACAATCTATTGCTTGTAATGTGCAAATAGAAGTTCTAGAACAATCTATTGATTGTAATGTGCAAACAGAAGTTCTAGGACAATCTATTGTTTGTTATGTGCAAACAGAAGTTCTAGAACAATCTACTGTTTATGTGCAAACAGAAGTTCTAGAACAATCTATTGTTTGTTATGTACAAACAGAAGTTCTAGAACAATCTACTGTTTGTTATGTGCAAACAGAAGTTCTAGAACAATCTACTGTTTGAAATGTGCAAACAGAAGTTCTAGAACAATCTGTTGTTTGTAATGTGCAAACAGAAGTTCTAGAACAATTTGTTGTTTGTAATGTGCAAACAGAAGTTCTAGAACAATCTATTGTTTGTTATGTGCAAACAGAAGTTCTAGAATAATCTACTATTTGTTATGTGCAAACAGAAGTTCTAGAACAATCTACTGTTTATGTGCAAACAGAAGTTCTAGAACAATCTACTGTTTGTAATGTGCAAACAGAAGTTCTAGAACAATCTGTTGTTTTTAATGTGCAAACAGAAGTTCTAGAACAATCTACTGTTTGTAATGTGCAAACAGAAGTTCTAGAACAATCTGTTGTTTGTAATGTGCAAACAGAAGTTCTAGAACAATCTGTTGTTTGTAATGTGCAAACAGAAGTTCTAGAACAATCTACTGTTTGTAATGTGCAAATAGAAGTTCTAGAACAATCTGTTGTTTGCAATGTGCAATGTCCTTGTCATCTATTTTGATGGATTAGAGCATCTGTTAAATGTTGCCAGGAAGAGTTGTCATTTTGTACATAGAATACTGACATTTCAAATTTAAATTGTGAATAGTTTCACTAATCTGCCTTAATTGTTGTCCAAGCAAGTAAACATGTTGAGCATGACTTTCCTGATGCCCCTTGTAATCAGTAATTGTCACAGAGGCACCAAAAATAAGGGGCCCATATCATGCCGTTTTCACTGGGACAGTGTCGTTTTTTTTAGGTAGGCCAAGACCGTCGTGTTGACCCCCCCCCCCCCCCTTTTTTTTTTCTCTTAACAAAACTTTTTTTTTTGGGGTATTGAAGCAGTGGTCTGGGTCTAAACAAGGATACCATCGTCCCAACAAAAACCGGGTGATTTGGTCACACTAACCCAAAACAACTGTGGCTACAGCTAAGACAGAATAAGCACTGCTGACCGATGGTATGTGCCCTTTAACAAATAAATTTGTCATTGACAGTTTTGTTATTCAAGCCTAGCAATTTAATTTGCATTATAAATTAAAGATATATAAGACAAAGTGTTATTCAGTTTGTTATTTAAAATTTAATTTAATTAACATTATAACTAAAGAAAACTGGAATATGTGACAACTAAAAAGATTTATGGAAAAAGATATTGACAAAGGCAAGAGAAAATGCTTCACAGCTTTTTATCATGGTATGGAAGGGTGTCAGAAGGGTGACAGCACACAATCTGATGCATGCTGTTTGAGATCTCAAGTTATGGATAGCCTAAGCCAATTGGCAAGGCACTTAATGGTGTTGATTTAATATTAAATAAAACAAGCACTTTGAAGTTATTAAGAAAGACCATGAATAACAGGATATTTTTGAATAACACTTAGAAAAGCATCAGATTGTGTGAGCCCAGAAGACATTAAAGCCATTGTTAGAATGGATCCAGCAAGGAATTAAATGGGAAACCATGCCTGGGGCGGGGGGGGGGGGGGGCAGTAAAGGAACAGTGGCCGCCAGATGCAGGAAGCCGTGTATTAGCAGTTTACCATGGCTTTATTTCACTAGAAACAATGAAGTCTCAGGACTCACCAAAAAGGATCTGATACAGTGACATGAAAAAAAAGTGATCTTCAAAAAAGGTGTCGGTACTGCATACCATTGTATGCTGCCAGGGGAAAAAAAGCCCTGGCAGAAACTAGTAAGCTGGAGTTGACAAATTAAAGATGGAGGAAGGAGATGGCGATATACAACTGGTTAGTTCACCGGATTGAAATTCAACTTGACCTTTTATTTTGATAGAAAAAAGCAAATTAAATAAAGAATTGGCTGGCGTAATTTTCTCAGCAGTATTCCTTCTCAGGATTAGAAGGAAAAAAATACAAGGCAACCCAATCCTTGGCAGCAGATAAATAACAAAGGTCATGTATCAGCAGTGAAAAAGGGGGGGGGGGACCAGGTCAAACACTACTATTATGGAGCCTTCTCATAATATTTGCCTGTGGTGTTTGAATAAAACCAAAAGAAAATAATAATAATTGTTAAACAAGTGAATAATTGTTTGATTCCAATACAATTACTATCAGTGGTCTTGATATTCATTGTCCTGACAGATGTACGACTTGATGCCTGGCTCTGGTGTGAATGTTCACCAAGAAAACTACAACGTTGCCCTGTCTAAGACTAGACAGGATCGTCCCGATGGGAAAGCAATGGCCCGATACCTCATGTCCTGTTTCTGGAGACAGTGAGCTGGTGGGAGCAATCATTGCTGAGCCACCAAAGCCATATCAGAGATCCTTGGACAGAAGCATAGTTCATGCTATTCTTGGTGAGTTTCTTCCTTCATCCTCATCATCATCCTGATATCATTTTGTTGCTTTTAGGTCACATTATTAGTAAGTTGTGAACCATCAGGAAGAGGAATGAAAGGAAGTTAGAATGTGAATTACAGTAAATAGAGTCTGGCTTCATCGAAATCTAAACCATGGCCTTCCAATCCACATATGAGTGTCTGGCCTCTATATCACATATACATGTTTGTGTATGCAAGCACTTATACGTGCATTTCCACATAGGTGTGCATACGTAAATGTTATGTCATGTTATATACAAAGCAGGTGTGGACAGAGCCCTTTGGGAAAAAGTAGCGAAGTCAGAATAGAAACTAGATTATTATGAGCTGGAGAGAATGATGCACCTGGGTGGGACCAGAGGGTTCTGCAGCACACTACGCTTAGAGCAAAGGCAAGACAGACATACAACCAGACGACTGGCACCGTAGTATTTGAACTCTGTGCTTGCTGTTGAGGATGGGGACGGAGCGCATATTGGAATGCCCCGAGTGCTCGGATGTCAATTCTTAACTCAGTTCAACTCATCTCAGTGTGCTTGTTATGTGTGTGTGTGTGTGTGTGTGTGTAATTGTACATATATGTCTATAAATGTGTGTGGGTGTGTATAGTGCAATTCCCCCCCCCCCCTCAACAATCCTAACTAGGTACTAGAGTACCAGTCCAAGCCACTAGTTTTGGTGCAATGAACATTTCTTAGCCAAAATAATAGGCACACAGTAACCAGACCACAATTATAACTGATACTGTTCGCAACAGGTTTAACGTGGTCCATTTTGTGTTTTGTTTTTCATAAATGGATGGATGGATTTAGCGAAAAACATAAACTTATAACTGAAAAAAAAGTCTGGCTGTATTCATAAATACAGTCATTCATAAATATAAATAATATATAGGCAATTTCAAGACGTTGAAGCACTTTCCTGACACAACGATTTTATAGATGCAAGATGTATAACTAGTTACACAGGTCACACCAAAAATTTAAATTAGACAGAGATAATTTTGTAAATATATTTACTTTACTTCCTGCTCACGTTGACATCTGTTTGTTCTCATAAGATTGAATTCTTTATTCCTGCAGGATTCTGCCAACATCATACCCATGAGCTGGCAAATGATATCCGTAGAACTATGCAACAGAAGATTGGCTATGCTAAGTTCTATTTTGTGAAGAAAACCTTGGATCCTGACTCTCCCAAAACCACTCCTGCATCAATTTCAGTAGAAGCATCTCCAAGGAGAATGTCAATGGAGATGGCACGCCGTGGAGCTATAGGGTTGCCATTGGAATTTTCACTAAAAGTACACACCGGGGAGTTTAAGAGGAGAAGAGTCAGTGGCACCTTTTCTAGAGGTTTATCTGAAAGAGATGATGTAACCGCTCACCTTCCACCCAGACAAATGCCAGATTTATCTTCTAGTAATTACAGTGAGATTACTAATGACCTGCCAAACAGACTGAGTGATGAATTTGAAAGACAGACCATGTCCATCTCAGCAGATATTCTTTCGGACAGACTGCCTGCAGATGAAGCAAACAGACTGGCATTAAGTATGTTAGCCAAGAAGATTTCTGCTGAACTTGGCAGCCAAATTTCATGTGATTTTTCTGGTCAAATATCTGCTGATTCTTCCAGCAGATTACCAGACGATCTCTCCACAAGATCAATAGCAGGACTTTCAGACAGGTCGACAGATCTGTCTTCTAACAGAATGCCAGCAGAACGTGTTGTTAGCACTACCCTGGACATACTGTCTGGACGAACACCAGAAACCAGTTTGAGTGAACTGGCCAACAGAATAGGATCTGTGCCTGGAGGAGTGTCCAGTGGATTCCTGGACATGCTTAATAATATTTACCCCAGCAGGTAATGTTAACATGTGTTATATCTTAAATATATCCGTGTGGGTTCCAGAGCCCTGTTATAGGGAAAACAAGAATAGATCAACTACCTACCCAAAAGCATGTCAAAAGAGTTGACTAATTGAGAGCTTCCTTCAAAGTCAGAGTGCATATGCCTGAGAGGCAACAAACCAACAGTCTCCATATAAATTAGTCAGATCTGTCAAACAGATGCACACGCAACACTCAATTTCTGGAACAGGACTGCAGTCCAAAATTTGACAACCAGAACTTTCCACCAGAGTTTACCGCCGTTAAACGCGAAGAAGAAGAAAAAGAATATTTCAAATCTGTCTAATTACATTGTTAGGAAATGTTTTTGGGAAGTAAATGTCATTGGCATGATAGTGACCACATCAACCAGCGCATGTCAGTTTTTCTACTTCTGTCTTCTATACCCCAGTAAAGCATTGACCCTCAACCAATTTAGGCCAAGACCTTCTATCCTTTGCCATTGCAAGCAGCTCACCTCATGTCCTTCCTGTCTTTTTTAACTTCGTTCTCTAGCTCCCTCCTCATATGTTTTTTTAAAAAATCTGCTTTTATTTCTAAGCCTCTGTGGGTTCCAGTAAGACGACCTTTTAGTTATATTGTTCTTAGGTTTTCTCAGCCTATGTCCTATCTAACGCCAGAGTCTTTTCTTCACCTCTTGGTCCACTGGAACCTGTTTAGTTCTCTTGCAAATCTCAACATTAGTAATTCTATCATACCATTTAATTCTCTCTATGCTGCACAGGCACCAGTTAATGAATGTTTGTAGTTTATTAGTCAAGTTTTAGTGGTTCTCCTTGTTTCCTCAGCAATACTGATTTGATGTAAGAATTAAACATTTCCTAGTGCCATGAAAGCTCCTCTTGCTTTTTGTCTTCATATTTTAATATCTCATATCTTTAATCTACATTATGCCTAAAAGGTGTATAACTCCACAACATGAAGTGGGATTCCATTAAGAGAAACCAGATTACTATTTGGCTGGTTTTGGTCAATAAAAATATGATGCTAGCACCATTTACCAGTTCACCTCCAATTAGGGAAACATGTTTTTTTTTCACATGCTGTTTTTATGATACTGTTAAGTCTTTCAGCCCCAGGACTTTTCACAGCATTTGCTCAAGGAGAGAAATAACCACCATGAAATTACCACAAGTAGAAAACTTTTAAAATGGTAACTGTGAACGCCAGATTTCTTTAGTATTCTATGACTAAATGCAAAAAATAACAGAACATAATTTTCAGGATTAATAAGAACTAGTTTATCACACACAATGTGCTGCTTGTGACCCCCCCCCCCCCCCCCCCCCAAAAAAAAAAAAGGTAAAGTTAGTTGCACATCCTCTACAGTACACCACAAACCAATCTCATTTATCGGATGAACACCACAAACCAATCTCAACATTTATCGGATGACTGTGGTTGTACCATGGCAAATAATTTCTTCTTCATCGTTTGTCCGAGTAATGTAAATGTGATGTACCTTTAACAGATAGCTATGATATTTGCACTTTTTGGTCGATACGTCCAACTTTCTATGCATTTTTTCATTCGGGTTAGCCTTCCTGATTAGTTTTGGGAGACATCTGTAGCGGTCTTAGCATGGTGACTTCATCACCCCTTGATCCACAGTTGCAGTTTTCAGCCATGGCAGAGCCTGGGCATTGCCCGCCATTAAAGGAGGCTTCTATAAATACCGAACCGATACACAGTGCTCTGGTATTGGCTCACCCAAGAAATTTACACGTCCTGCACACAACTGCTTTACCCCATCCATATAATGAGCCTTCCATTCCACTTTAGGGATCCCACTGAAGTCTACAGATCTCAGACTCTGATTCCCTGCATAGACATCTCACTTCCCCAGCACGTTTTACTTCTCTCTTCACGTGAATGCTATGGGGCACTTTTTGCGGCATTCATGGGAAGCATGATCCAGGATGGCTTCCATTTACGGTTATTATACACCGACGAGTATGGCCATTGGTAGCAAATGTTTGAACCTTTTGGGTCATAAAGTAAGATCTCTGAGCAAGGTACATCTGTATCTTTGCTGCCATACAGTAGGATTCTTGATGGATGAACATTTGAACCTAAAGAGTCATACAGTGGGAGTTCCAGATGAAAGACATTTAAAAAGAGAATTTATCGTTTAATAGGGTTTGGGCCAGCAGATTTTACTTATGCTTCAAATGAGTTTTCCATGTATGTTATCACCCATCCACATAGGGTGGACTGATGAGTAATGGACTAAATCTGGGAACTGGATCTCTGGGAACCACCAACTTTGAGATTCCCTGCTGCTCAGTTTAGGCTGATATAAGCCATTCTCCTTAGTGCATGATGACTATGTAACAGAAGTCTTGCATGAAGATCTGTACAACCAGCATAGAGCTAGCTGGTGCCTGAGGTGATATATGGAGTATCTCCTTATACATATCACAAAGGCCTTAACTTTCCTTGACATCTGTGACTGAATTCACCACATCAAAGGCAGTTCATTTAATGTTCAATAGCAAAATATGTTCATTCTGTCAACATTTTCATTGTGAAATATGTTAAATAGTTTACCATTACTTTCTGAATGACACGGTGCTTATACTGTTGTCCAAATCAGTGCAAAGCAGTGTAACAGTATTGGTACTGTGATTTAATAATCTGTCTGTGACTGTTGACTCAAATTTGCAATAATATTTCACTGTGAACACATGTTTATATTACTTGTTTACTGCCATTGCTTACTACACCAAGTCTTTCTTTCACAAAGTGACTGTGACATGGTTATTCTGTAGATAGGGCTATCTTCAGAAATAAAATATTTACATTTCATATTAGTAATGAAGTTATATTTGAACATCTATAATTTTGTCATACAAAAGTTGTGTGTTCCTTGTTTATCTGGAAACCTAATTAAAGGAAAAATAGATATGGCAGGTCCTGGCCAGTGTTTTGCGTTCATCATCATCAGGTGCCTTGCCAGCTGGTGTAGGCGATTATGCCTCTCCATAATTCACGATCTCCTGCAGCATGTATCAGTTCGTGTGCCGACACATCTCCATGCCATGCAACAAGACTGTCAAGAATCTTCTCTCGTTGTCTTCCTCTATCCCTCCACATATCTTTCCAGTGGTCACAACATGTTCTATTTTCCCTCTTCTCATAACATGGCCGAAAAATGATGACTGTCTCCTTCTAATGTCTATGATAAGTTGTCTTCGAGCTCCCGCCTCTTTCAAAACCTCTTGGTTGCTCTTTTTGTCTGTCCAAGGTATTCTAAGCATTCTTCTGTAAAACATCTCTGAGGCCCCAAGAAACTGTTTGGCCGGCCTACAGATTGTCCAGGATTCACAGCCATATGTTAAAACTGGATGTATGTAGCAAGCAAGAATTCCTTTTCCTAACTCTCAATGACAAGGATATATTGCACAAGATGTTTTTCATTTTATAAAATGCAGTTTGCCTGTCCTATTCTGTTTCTTATCTCAGTTATGCATCTTCCATCTTATATTATCCATGTGCCCATATACTTAAATTTCTGTACTTGTCCTAAAATAGCACCATCGACTTTTATTACACATTTAGGAATAATTCGTTTCTTTAATACCACCATTACTTCTGTCTTCCCATTATTCAAACTGAGGCCCATTCTTCCACTTTCTAACACCACAATGTCTATCATTTTCTGACTGACTGACTTTCTACCCCACCAGGACATCACACAAGCGACAAACACCCGATGACACAAAGTGCCACCATGCAGATGAGGATCGCCGTGGAGAGGCCCCAGAAACCGCGTTCAGACATTTGGCCATATGTATGGCCTGCCTATATTGCGGCCCCCGGCAAAAGCCAGAGTAGGGCTTCAAATAACAAAAAATTTCGTCCTAAAAAGGACGAAACTGGATTTCATGATATATATCATTTTCTGTAGTTCTTTCTGACTTGTTGCTATCAAAACTGTGTCATCAGCATAACATAAATTGTTTATATTGTGCCCACCAACCACAATTCCGGGCATATCAATTAAAGATCTTATTATATATTCACTGTATATTTTGCGTTCAAACCCTACAAATGACAGGATTTGACTCGACCAGTTCGACATTACTGTCAACCCAGTCCCATACAAATGGAGAGCAGACATATTCCAGCATTCTCTGATAAGGGAGGGAACTGGTCACTATATCTTATTTGTCACCCAAAAAAATGCACAGGCTCAACATGTCAGCCAACAGCTTTATCTGCTATGGGACTACCTTTAGTCGTAGCTACTGGACATATTTATGTGTGCGTAATCTCTGTATTGGTGGTGCAAAAAGTAATCTTTAGAAGCAAACACAAATAAAATGCTTCACATTAAGAATAACGTTGTCTTTTGTTGAATTTATATCTATAAATGCAATTATCTAAGGTGGCACACCATATCCCCTACGTCCTTCTTAGGACGTAATTTTTTATTATTTGAAGCCCCACTCTGGCTTTTGCCAGGGACCGCAATATAGGCAGGCCATAAAAATGGCCAAATGCCTGAACGCGGTTTCTGGGATCTCTCCACGGCGATCCTCATCCCCATGGTGGCACTTTGTGTCATCGGGTGTTTATCGCTTGTGTGAGGTCCTGGTGGGGTAGAAAGTCAGTCAGGTGGCACACGTCCTAACTAGAATCTGCTACATTGCCGAAGGAATTGGTGGAAGATAATGAATGCTCAGTTGGACACCAGAGTTGATTCAGCCTCGTAAAACAGATATCTGACACTGCATATTTGTTTGGAAATATTCTTTGAATGAAAGGCAGCGAGAAAGAAACTAGCCACTTCAACCCCAGTAAGAGGGTAATAAGGATACCAAGAAATAGATGAATGGCAGTCTAAGAGAGGGTACAACCATCATGGAGACAATACTGGAGATCAAGTGTGGAGATGGCATCTGACTGAAGTAAAAATATGTTTGCTGAAAAGATAAACCAGAGGTGGCTGATC